AGTGTTCAGTAGATAAAAAGAAAAGAAACATGTCTTTACTTCGTGAAGACAAAATGGCGGCGGGGGGAAAAAAAATAGAGGGTTGCTGTAGGAGAGTTGGTCGCCAAATTTTCGCCAAAAAAACGCCAAGTTACCATAATGTAAGATCAACCATGACTGTAAAGATACACGGAATATAATATTGAAGAAAAAACATGATTAAATTCAATATAAAATGCCTTAAAAAAAAAATATATATATATATATATATATATATATTATTCTGTTTGTGTGAACAGTGTTCGTGAATTTTTGGATCCCATGGCCGTAACTAAAGTGAATTCGAAATGGGTATTTATGTATGTATTAATTTAATGTATGTGCTCATTTATATTTTAAGTAGTGTTTTTGAATTTAATTATATTTTAATTAAATGATAGTTATTTTGTAAATTTTATGTTTGTAGGAATTTGTAGGAAAAACATATATATATATATATTATATATATATATATATATATAAACTTCGACTTTAAGAGGTAGCGTACCGGAAAGGGTTAACTGAAGAGAGCTGAAACACAGTTGTAGTAGCTGAAAATGCGACTTATCAGAAAAGTTAATAATTCTGCACTTCAAATTTTTCATATCTAAATACAGTAGAATTTCAAAAGAAAATTTCATCATTTTAATGGAGTATTCTTTAGAAGATAGTACCAGCCATGATAGAATGAATGACAGTTTAAGTTTCATAAACGGATGATTTCAGAGATATGCATTGCCTTAAAACTGCACATGAACACTGCCTTAAAACTGGAATTCAGAAGCCCAAAAGATATTGCAATTTATTAACTTAAATTTTCACCCATTTACTTTTTGGGAGAAAAAATAAGATAATACTTAGAAAGCATATCTGAAATGAAGTTTTAGTAATTGTACAAATTTCTTTCTACAACTGACAAATATATGTAAATCTTTTGTTTAATATTCGGATTATGGTAACTTCGCGATTTTTTTGGCGAAAATTTGGCGACCAACCCTGCTACAGCAACCTGCTAGTTTTTTTTTTTTTTTTTTTTTGGACGCCATTTTGTTTTCACGAACTAAAGGCTTTTTTTTTTTTTTTTTTTACTCAACATTTTTTTCCAACAATCTGCTAGCCGAATTACGCTTATGCTAGAACTTTTATGGAACAAAAGTGCTTAATCATGACAAAGATTAGGTGCGAAATTGGGAGAAAGTGAAGAATCGCACATTGCTTGCGTGTTTTTAAGAATTGCACATACACGGTATCGTCCATGTACACGTCGACCTATTTTTACTTAAAAAAAATCCCAGAATTGCACAAACTCTTGACTTTATCCATGTACACTGCTAAAGTCCTAGCTAATAACCTTTATCGCCTTACCAAAATGACGCCAAACTACTTGTTTGTTTGAAATTGTTTGAAAAGACAATGTTACCATATTCCAAAGATTAGCCAAATTTTTTCTCTTGTAAGTAACTAATAAAATTAATTCAAAATGTTTTTATTCTTGTTGTTACAGTGCACAGCTGTAATGTCATTTATTTACTTCTCCCAAGTAACACTAGTAAATGATTTATTAAAAAATGCAATCAGGCTATTGGAATAGAATTTTAAAAAAATTAGGATTCACAGATATATATATTTTTATGTTACACATAAGAAATTTTAATTCATTTTATAACCACAAAAATCTGGTCGTAAAAACGCGTCTGTAAACAAATTTCACACAGTTAGTAAATAAACTGCTTCTATGTCATGTTTAACCGTTATGAAATGAGTTGCAATTCAATTTTTAATTCCTTAAGCAAAGCAAAATAAATCATCCGTACAAATAAATAACAGATCTTTCAAACGCCGTAACTTGAGAATATCGTCATATTTTTTTTTGACAGTAGTTCAGATAAATATCCCAATTATCTAAAAATAATCAAAAGGAGATTTTTGAAACGGGGTAGTTGCAGTCAATTGATAGAATTATTACAAATGATTGCTTAATATTTCGGGTTTAGAATTATGGATGAGTTCCAAGAAGACGGCCATTTCTCAGAATCGTCTTGCTAATGGGATCAGAGCCATTGACAGAAGCCAAGAAAAACACTGATTAAATTCGAAAGCTATTTATTTATTTGAACCATAATGTTATTTTAACCCTTTGCACTAAAACGTTTTAAGTGGAGTATTTATTAATCTTCTTGCTGCACATAGATGCTCATAACAGAGAACTATTTTCCTCCCTAAAATTTCACATCTCATTTGCTTCTGCCATTATTTGAGATGCACTGGTTTTCAAAGTAATTTGCTTCGTAAAACATTACACTATTTATTTGCATACATATTATAAATAGAGGCATTTAAGAATTGCTTGAGAAACAGAAATCATGAAAAATTCAAATGACGCATTAAAAATAAAATTACTTGGCAGTTACTTAATGACAGTTTATAGGTCTAGACTTGTGTGAATAGGTAATTCAAATAAATTCCTTAGTGAAAGGATTAGGTTATTTAGATTATGGCAAAGCATTCTAGGTAACCTGGTACCATTCTAGGTATTCTGGGTAAACGGTTAAATCTAAGATATTGTTTCCGCCCGAATTTTTAGAGCTAACGTAAAACGTTTTTTTGAAATACATCTTCTGTAAGGCCTTGCTTCAGAATTTTCGGCGCCCTTGGCGGTCGGCACAACTGGCATCCCATATAAATGCGTTAATAATCCAAAGCGAAATACACGTTTCTTTTACTGTCATTCATGAAAATAATTTAAAACATTAAATTTAGCTGTCGTGGGGGGAAAATAACTAAAAATCTTCCGAAAATCAGCGCTGTAGGACGTTTGGAGTCGATAGAAATACAATTCAGCATCAGAGTTCATTATTCACCACACTATAAACATTGAACAACAGTAAATCTATCCAGCTCGATTTCTGAGACGGATTGACCTGGTTTCACATGTCGGTGCTGAGTAACGTGAAAACGTGTCAGTTTCCCTTCGAAAATCCTTCATAAAAGCATCCCTCCCTCGATGGAATCCTTCATAAAGGCATCCCATAAAGGCTCGCACGTGTTTTGACCCAGTCGATTAAACCCAAAACGCATACAGAGATTGAGTGCAACTTCACACATCCACTTTAGCGTTAAACAAACCCAAATCGATGTAAGGGCACCAGCGTTGTTGCGACGAATAAAAGTTGTCTCCGAGATGAAACTAAGGAATTGCAAATGATTAAAATACATAATTACAATAGCCAATATATTAACAAACATGAATAAATTCATATAAAATCAGAAAAAAATTACTATATAGCAGTAGCGTAAACGGTACTTACGTATTATCGCAACCAGGTTGGCGCTATATGTAAGTTTGAGTAAAAAAGTATGAATAGAAAGAAAATGTACATTTATTAATTACAGATAATTTTTAATACAGTTTTTTATATTATTTTGTTTTAAAATATAAAATAGCAATTAAACCCTTCCGGTTTCGAATTTGAATAAGTTTCAGAATTATTTTTTCGGCGGAAATCTTTTGGCTATTGCTTTTAGCACTGATTGAAAACCGTATTTGCCATAACCATGTACACGTCGACTTTTTACTTAAAAAAACATCCCAGAATTGCACAAAAATGGCACTGCGAACACTCTTGACTTTATCCATGTACACTGCTATTTTCTCACAAATTACAAAAATTTGCACGAAAATGCAGGAAAATTTTGTGAATCTCCACATGCTCTTTTTACAAAACTACGTATAACACGTAGGGTCGCCAAATTTGGCAATTTATGCGAATTTTGGCCTGGTTGCGTTAATACGTACCGCGTAAACTTTTGACAATCTGCTTTTCTTGCGAAATTATTAATGCAATTTAAGAACTCTATTTGGTATATTTGAGCACACTTAATTACTCTATAGAACTAAATCACGAGAAATTCATTTAAGGAATCTGAGCATTTGAAAAAGAGGCATAGAATTAAAAGTTTTTCAAATTGTTTTATATCCCATATTAGAGCATTGTAAAGGGGTAAATATATTTAGTTTTTTCATAAATTAATTAAAAAAATCTTCAATAGCTGTAGCCAGTTTCTACTACAGTTTTGCATTATTTTCGTCTAAATTAAAATAGAAGACTCATTTTAAATAACAACTGCATTTAAAAAATGCTGTTTCTGGACCCAGTACATAAATTGCGTTTACCTTCACAGAATTAATGTGTGTGATTATGGCAAAGCCTCGAGGGCAATCTGCCTGCGGGGAGGGATGCCTTCGTAGAGGACTTTCTAAGGATACTGGCTCGTATACACGTTGCACATGGGGAAAACCACGAAACGTCCATGCAATATTTCTGTTCTTTGTGTATTTTAAAGGTATCTTTTAAAATCAAAATATTTTTAACAATTGAAACACAGCCTAATTCTTTTGAATTCATACAGTTTTTATTTCTTAATGCATATACGAAAGGGATTTTTTTTCCTTGAATAAATAAAACTTAAATGGATAACAATGTTACTGTACACATTTATAACGAGAAGTTTTCTCCGTTCTGAAATTTTTTGAACTGGCAAATATGCGATTGATGATGCATATCGCAATTAAACATTTGGTGCATCAGATCTTCAAATTTTTAATACATATATCTGCATAATTATAAAAAAAATCCCTAAATCATGAAAATGTTGCTTGTTTAAACGGTATGTCAACACTGAGAAGAGCAAACATATACATCATATTTGAAATTTACTTTTAACTTAAGTTTGCCTATTAAATAATAAAAATAATTTTTAAAAAAATCTTCGAAAATTTTAGCATGCTTTTAAAACAATATTATGACATTTGTTAGTCTTATAAGAGATGCGAATACGTTACTGGAACGTAGAATGCCTTTGCTCGCACTGTAAGTTAAGACTATGCTGTCTAACTTGAAAAAATATGTTTTAAATCAGTTAAATCATATAATATTATCATCGGAAAATGAGGAAAATGATGTCTCATGAATATAACTTACCTCACGTCTCGTCATTGTTCACAGACCGGTTCTTTGCAGTTAATTCGCTCCGTTTAAAATCACTCAAACTACAGTCTAGCTACATTTCAAGTTTGCCAAGATTGCATTAGACTTACTTCATGTGAAAGTTCAACGCATGCGCCCACTTGCCAGATGTTTGACGCGATCTCAGCAGAGGGAAAATTCTCTACTATAGGGAAAATTCTGGGGAAAGGGGAAATCCGTTTCTAGGAATAATGACAGATGTTACGAGATGTCAACTTCGAAAATAACGAGTTTCTGCGGCTAAACTACTCCACAAGTATATGAATCATTGAAATGGAATACATTTACTTTTATTACATAAGATAACTTGAGATGAATTTATGCCAATGCCACTTTAATGAATTTGCAAAAGTTTCGCTACAGTCTATTGTTTCGCAAATTAAAATCTAAAACAAGTGGGCCTCCTGTTCAACGATTTACCCTCCCTCCTTCGGTTTCTGGGAAGCAGGTAATAGAATATTTAGCATTCAAATCTGCTGTACAGTTACCGAATTTGATTATCAGTAAATGTACTTTAAGCAATCTGCTTCTTTCTTATCTTCTAAAAGCAAATTAATAACGGCAGAAAACATTTATGCAGTTTCTTTTTACTAAATTTATTTTTTGAAAAACTATCGGAATTCAAATTAATTTTTCTTCTGTATTTTAAGCAATCTACTTAATGCTTATCTTTTATTAAAGATAATTAATAACGACGGAAAATATTTATGCAATTTTTGACAGATTTATTTTTTGTAAAACTATCGTGATGCAAACTGATTAAACTGACGAGAACTACATTATTAGATCTTTACCGACTATTACTGGTCTGAAAATCGCATGAAGAGAATTATTGAACTATTGTTTGAATTAATTACAGACAACATTTAGGGAAATCAGTTATATTTTCAAATTACTTAAAATTTGAAACGAAATGCTGATTAAATAATTCCACTAACAGAATCCATTACGTGAACCTGAGATAAACACACACATATTATTTTATAGAGTAGATAACATTTTCTTGGGCTTGCTGAAAAGATATTTCTATCAAATGATGAATCTAAACCCTGGGGTGTCACATAGTCTAATGTGAATAATTTGCTTTTCGTCCTTTCGGAGAAAATATCCGCGAGAGTCCATTTATTTTTTAATAATAAAGGGTAACTTCTTAATAGCAGATCAGAAATAACTCGAAAATTAACTACGCGTGAAGCAGACTCCGAAGCTTCTGGCTCATCATGACTTTATCGGTTATGTGCCAAAAAATTAACATTCCAGTCCAGTCCTATCCTACCGTTATATTAATAATATGCATCTTTTGTAAAGATCATTTTTAATTTTTCAAGTGTATATGAAACTAAATTCATTCTCATAAAACCAGAAATGTTTGTGTGATTTGATTATTGCAATCCAACTATCAAGCCTTCGTGGCATCACAATTCCTCTAGTCCAGAGGTGCCCTTTAGGTGAATGTGAAGTACTTACCTTGAAAAAAGAATTTTTCAGAATTTTTTCCATATATGGTGCTCCTTTCTGACGCATTCTTTAAACAATAAACAAAAGGTTAATCATGCTCTTTGGTTTTCGACGATTCTCAAACAGCTTAAAATAATTTGCTTTCCTGTCAAAGCTTTAGTAAGGCCATCGGAACAATACGTGATGTACACGATGCGTTAAATTACTGAGAAACCGTTTTATGAAGTCTGAATGCGTGAAAAATTTAGATAGTCTGCTACACTCAGATACCATTTCAATACCAACTACTATTTAAAACACTTTTAGGCATTATTACATATTTAGTATTTTAGTTTGTTTAATTGTAACAAAGGACGTCACGGATATCTGCCTAAGGGGAGCAATGGCTTCGTGGAGAACTTTCTAAGGGAAACTGGTTCTTATCCACATTATATATGGAGAAAACCACGAAAACGCCCATGCAGCCAAATCATTCGCCCGGATTTGAATGTTAGTCGAACTATTAGTGTTCAGCACCTTTATCGCTAGAACGCTAATGAACCTTTACGTACACTGACGTAAGCAAAAAAAATCCTAATAGGAAGAAAAAAATTAGTATAGAATGATGAAATTTCTGCATGGTCTAGGTAACATATCTAATTGATTAAATTTTCAAGATCACAGGTTAATGTAAGTGCTAGAAGAGCCATTTCAAATGTGAAATGCTTGTACAATAATAACAGGTGTAACCACCAAGATTTTTAATGCAAGCATGCAAACGTGCATGCATTGTTTCGTACAGATACCACATGTCAGTTTGTTGGATGAAATTCCATGCCGGTTGCACTTGGCCGGTCAATGCAGGGACAGTTAAATACTGGTTGTGGATGACGCTGAAGTTGTCGTCCAATGACATCCCGTACGTGCTCGATTGCGGAAAGATCTGGTGATCTATCAGGCTAAAGCAACATGTCGACACTCTTTCGAGCATGTGGGGTTACAATAGAGGTATGAGGGCGAGAGTTATCTTGTTGAAAAACATCCTCTTGAATGCTGTTAATAAATGACATCAGAATAGGTTGAATCACCAGACTGACGCAAAAATTTGCAGTCAGGGTGCGTGGGATAACCAAGAGAGTGCTTCTGCTGTCATATAAATTGCTCCCAGACCATGGCTCCAAGTTTAGGTCCAGTGTATCTAGGCAGCAGACAGGTTAGTTGCAGGCGCTCACCTGGCCTCTTTCTAACCAACACACAGCCATCATTGACACCAAGGCAGAACTGGCTTTCATCAGAAAACATAACAGATCTCTACTTTGCCTTCCAATGAGCTCTAGCTTGACATCGCAAAATGCAGTTGTTTGGAGTAAGCGGAATGTACGCTAAAGGGCGTCTGGCTCGGAGCTGTACTTGAACGAGATTTGAAACAATTCGTTGTGTCACTGTGGTGCCAATTCCATGTCGGAATTTACGTTACAAATTTATTACAAATTTATGCTGCAGACACGGCGGTCTTCCCACTCAGTCATGCCAAGTGGCCGCCGGAACCTGGTCTTCTTGAGCCAGTATCTTCCTTTGACCACTGCTACCAACAATCATACACAGTGGATACAGTTTTGCCATGTCTTTCTGCAGTATTGCGGAAAGGAAACTCATGTTTTCTTAGCCCTATTACACGATCTCGTTCACTGAGTTGTTGATAATGGCTTCTTCGTACTTTTAAAGATATTATTGACTAACATCAATTGACTACGTCAAATCTCAACGATAAATAATTCTCACGGCGTATTTAAAGCAAACCTAATTTGCATGTTCATAGCGGCATTACTAGCGCTACACTTACGCGCCTAGCCCAAAGTTTGAATAGACGACATCTTTCATATGTATAAACGCGCCTACCAAATTTCATTTATCTAGCACAAATCCTTCTTGGTGTTGGGACATTTTTTTCATCAGTACGTATTCAAAAGAAGTTTTTCTTTCTTTATCATGGCAAAGCGCGTGAGGCTTTCTGCATAAGAAAGGGGGCATGGAAGACTTGATAAGGAAAATCAGTTTGTAGTTACATTATACATGGAAAAATCATGAAAACGTCTATGCAGTTAGCCCATTCTCCAGGATCCAAACTGTATCGTTTTGTCACTATTCAACTGTTTTAACCCATCGGCCATCGATGGGCCCGAGTCATATAGCAATTGCGGTCGGGGGCACGAGTGTTGAAAGCAGATCAAGGATTTTGCTTTTAATGATTTGATAATAAATATTTACAAATAAATCTACAGTTAAATATGTGAGATATTTTATGTAAAATTTAGTCATCTGTAATAAAATAAAAAATTTTAAAAATTAGTTGGTAAGTTAATAATAATCTTTATTAGCAAATAACCGATTTACTACGAAAACGCATGATTTTGTTTAAAAAATCCTGATGGCATTAGCTGGAATATAATTCAGGTAAATTGACAGGTCGGGTGAAAAATCGGATGTCACTGTTTTAGCCAGATTGAGCCAACTGAGAAAAAATAAATTATTTATTTTTCTTCAATTTCTGTAACTTCGATCAATTTCTTATTTGCAGTGATCAATAGGTGCCTCTGGTTGATGGTAAAGTCATGAAAATTATCTTGACTTTAAGTTTTGCTCTTGAACAAACCTTTTCACAAGATTTCTCAAATAAGTTGATAAAATTTATTTAAATCTTAATTATGAGACTAAGAAAGCTGATAAAGACATTAGAATTAAAAGGAATATTGACTTTGAGCCAAATTAAATTTTTGCTTAATGAAATTTCTTATCTCTTACTTCTGGAATTTTAAAACAAATATGCACACATATCAATACTGCGTCTCGAATACATAAATATTTAAAAAAATTTTGTTAACATTTATTTAAAACCAATTTAGTTATAAAAGATGAGTTACGAATTGCTTCTTTTAAAACTCCTCCACAGTAAAAAGAGATACAAGAAGTATAACAAAAGACATAGTTAATCCAAAAATTAATTGCAAAATTTTCTTCTGAATGGAAATAAAATAATTGATTGCATTCTTTACGTTCAGAACTGAAATGATTTATATTCACCAAGCAAAAGTTTTAAACGAATTGATTTAACTTCTTCTGTTTCCATTAATTAGCCATTAAAATTTGGTTCATTTCTTGAAGAAGTGCAGAAATCAGGCTTATATTTACAAATGAAAAATAATCTTTTTATTTTTACACTGGAAGTCATTCAAAAATTAAAAGCGCTCCATTTTTATTTCAATGTTAATAATAAGAACGAGTTAAAAAGGAATGCCACGCTTATTACTGCAGATACCAGTTACGGGAACAGATGTCTGCAGTAATAAGAGTAATGATGAAAAATATAACAATAAATAACAGAAAAGTAAGGGCTGAATTCAGAAATAAATGTAACTTGCGTGTGTTGCCATAATCAGTAACCACCAACCCCATTTAATAACTTCATTTGATAAAACTGAGTTCAGGAAGGGTAGAAAGGAAAACAAAACATTAATTTTTTTATTTTATCCCTTTCCTATTGTCAGCATGCTTTTTTAAAAAATATAAACAGCCCATATTCAAAGAAACATCATTTATAAACCATTCTCGAAGTTTACACAGAAATGGCATATAAATTACAAGCATAAAAAGATGGATAATTTTCATACTCACAGGTAGATGGCAACACCTGTGACCAATAGTGGTATGGTAAAGTGGACTGAGACTTGTAGTCTAGTTCCGGTCTTCTTCAAATTTTGGTTTTATAAATTATTTATTTTCAGTTTTTTCCCTCTGCTCAGGCACTTAACGGCAAAACTTGCAAAACTGCCTTTCTGAAATCAAACCTCTTACAATTAGCAGATTGATCTCCAACCAATAAAATACGTTCTTCGGCGCTTTTCCAGAGGACTTTCTCGAAATGTCTTTGTTTCCCTTTTCAAGCATATCTTAAAAGCAAGTGAACTTAAGTTTCACTTTTTGACGCTTCTTGTAATTTCATATCTTAGATTAATAATTTCATATTTAGACCATTAAATTTCTCTTCGATTTCATTTCATTCAGCGTTTGTTTTACGCATGACCGGAGTGTTCCGAACTTGATTTCGGTTTAAATATTTGAGAATTATGTCTCCACTTTCATCAGCGCTACGCTTTAAACGCTTGATTATGGCAAAAGGCATTAGAACTATCTGCCTGTGACAAGAAGTGCCTTCTTAAAGGACTACCTCCAGGGAAATGAATGTATGTTTATGTTTCGCACGAGATCCAAAACTCGAAACTTTATGGGGCCATTAAAGTCATTCGCCAGAAATAGAACACAAGGCAAACGAATGGTGCTTTGTAGTTACAGCCACTTACCATTGTAAGAATAAGTGTTTTATGTGATTTATTTGAATTTCGGATTAGTTTTCTGCTAAACTGTTATTACAGTTACTCTGAGAACTCTGGCAGTCTGAAAAATTTTCAGAAGTCAATCAACAAATTTCGCATTAGTTACATAGCAGTTTTATGCCTGAAAGGATAGTATAATATAGCACAGAGTGAGAAGAGGAGGTATTTGTTTAAAATTTTGAAATCAGGAGTAAATTAGGATGTCATATTTCAAGGGTTTAGTGTTTTCTAGAAGTATTATCGAAGTTACATTAACAATCACGTATTTTTTCTATTGCGCGAATGCTGAACGTTTATGTGATACAATATGTGCTACGATTTCCTTCTGCCCTAGGGGTAAAAAAAAAAAAAAAAAAAATAAGCCGAAACATTCTTAAGGGCAAGGAGAAAAGAAAATACTACTACTTCAGATTGTAAAGAGGGTGAATTTTATAAATAAGGGGAATTTCAAAGCTTAATTAAAAATTTCAGAGTAACAGCAGCATTTAGAAGTTATGTTCGGTTCCTCTCGATTCCACCTCCCTCCCGCCCCTTGTGGAAGGTACTACATAAAAAAAAATAAATAAATAAAAAAAAATATATATATATATATATTGATAAAATGCCTTCGGATATTTTTAGGAATATTTAACAGATGTTTGTACAGAAAAATACAGTATGCTTCTGTTTGTAGATTAAGCCAGTGGATGGCTGTCAGACTTTTTATCATTGAGGATTATATGTGTAAAGTTGCAGCTTATGGCAATCCAGATGGATGTGACTGCAGCGAAAAAAAATGGGGGAGAGTGATGTAGAGTAGGTTTGTAGAAGAAGGAAGCATGAAAAATGTGCCATGTCCTCGCACGAATTCGAGTTCCGGATCTCCAACTGCTAGCTGGACATGTTTATAATTACACTATGAAGCCAGTAAATAAGGAGAGAAAAAGTATATCACAAAGAAAAACCTTGTAATAAAGAAATAAGGACAAATTACTGCTTATAATTACCAGGAGTCAATTAAAAATTATCAATAAATTATTAATATAATAAAAGAAAAAAGAATAAAGAAAAAGATAAAGAAATATTCAACAGAACGATAACGATAAATAATTCGATTAATTATGAATTAATTAACGATATGAATACGAATTAATTAACGATAAATAAGTACGTAACAGAAAAGGAAAAGAAAACTTTTCGCGTTCTACCAAAAACTGTATCCCGATCCACACTTTGGCAACGATTGTATTAAGCAGTTTCTAATATTATATTAGTATAAATTATGAATCACTATCAACACGTATGTGATTTTCACTGATACATACTGTTATTTCAGTAGCTTTCCAGATATTTTTATTAATGCTAAGAAAATAGGAGGAAATTATTTTATCAATAGTATTTTATTTATAAAATAATAATGCATTAGTTTGATTTTGAACTATCGTGTAGTGCAAAAATGTCAGTTTTAAGCATTATTTATTATTTTTCTTGCTAGAATTAAAAAAATGCTTCAGAACTAAACGTTTCGCACATTTTTCAAAGTCTGGATATGAAAATAGAATTCAAGTAACAGCGAAAAATTTCTGCTGGAAGATGTAAGGGTGCTTTAAAATAGAAAAGCATATTACAGCTTGTCATTTCAGTATTTGCTTCTTCAATTTTGAGAATGCTTTATTTAAAACATTTTAACCATCGTTCTTACCACAGGATACATGTCTTTACCTTGCATAATATGACAAATATTTTTCTGCTTAACGGATCTCCATTATTTCACTTTGAACTTAAAATTGTGTGCTAGGATAAACTCTTAAAACTGGTTGATCAAAGGTGTTTCTAATTATTTTTGCATAGTATCAATCTGACCCACAACATTTTACTTAAAAAATCTGTATCAGTTGATGTAAAGTCCATTCTTAATTATCCGACTTTCAAGCTCTGGGCTTCTCTCCATTCTCTCTTTCAAAATTTTGCTAGAAGAATAAACTGTTGTGGAAGGTAATTGAATGATTCTATTGTTCAGCAAAGCTAACACAAAAAGATGCAGTATTGTTAGTTTAAGAATTCTTTCGCATTTTAATATATAATGATAAAACAGGGGGAATAAATTCAGCAAGTAAAAATAAGACAGTTTTATTTTCTTCACTGAAATGAAGGCGTATCCTATTTTAGATTAAGAACTGTTTTGCAAACAGATTTTAAGAGAAACATTCCGATCTGAAAATTAAGGAATTTTTTTTCATTCAGAAATACCGTAACGGAAAAGAAAACAACGATACGAAAGTTGATGAGGGAAAAAAAGTAAGGTAAGAAAGGGAGATTGGAAATCACTCTTCATTCGCGTAGTATGTTGCGGCTAGATGTTTGGGGGGGGGGAAACAATTCTGCGAGAAGACTGGTCCTGACGTGTGGAGGAGTCCATTGCGAGGAAAGGAGGCGGATAAAATTAAGAACTCGTAGTCTTCAGTGACATGGAGAAGATGGCAGCCCAAGAAGTATGTGGGCAGTGCGAAAGTTTCTAGCTCTCAGGCAGCGAACGAACAAGGGGGATCCTAATCCAAACATGAACAACGATCGAGGTGACAGGACTCTGGATCTGCGCGAAATGACTGAACTGCCGCGTCCTACTGAATGCGATCAACCGGACAAACGTTTGTTGGAAAGAGAGGTAAGGAACCCAGTCTCGACGCCTGCATGACGGCGGTCAAAAGTCTTAGCGTCTTTATTAAAAAAAAAAAAAAAAAGGTACATACAGTTGTTATGCATCAAGTTTTATAAAGCGCCTTTGCGGGACGAAGAAATGTTTGCGTAATTTTAATGTAATTGTATGAGGATATTTTCGGGCTTTGTGCGGTTATCCGTGCTCTATGTATTCCAAGACATAAGGATAAAAAATTTCATAATTTATTTTTTTAACATATTTTATGAAATGCTTTATAAGTTAGCGCATGAATTTTTAACAAAAATAAGGTCACAGTTTCCAAAGTAATCTTTATTTGCATAACTTGCATTTTATTTTTTGCATTATTTAATATATTTTATTTATTTATTTACTTAATTACTTTTCTTCTAGTGAAAATAAAAATGTTATTTATAGTTATATGAGTACGGTCATCTAAACAATATGAATGGAATTTTAAATGTTTTTTCAGCTATCAAGTAAAATAAATATATAAATTATTGAATATTTCTCTTTGGATGATACAAACCTTGCGACAGTGTTAGTACTTTTACTACTGCTACTTAGAAGTGAATTGTTTTAACCAACAACGTAGGTACTACAAAAATGCAGATATATAACTTTGCTAATTCGATAGAAGCAAAGTTTTCAGACTTACCGTTAAATGTTAATCATTGTTAAAAGTATTAAGAAAACGTTTAATGCTAGAGAAACTGCTAAGATTTTACTCTACAGTAGAGTTTTGCAATGAGTTTATGCAAGCAAAGGGATTGTATGAAAAAATAATTTAATTTATAAATGAATGAAGAGAAAGGACAGCAAAGAACATTTTAATTAATCTAGAATAATAAGAAAACTTACCAATGGATTGAAACCACAAGTTGTTCCAAATTGACAAAAAATGAATAAATAAATAAGTGGAATTTTATAATCAAACGTTTTGAAAGAATCTCGAGATAAACTATATGTGCGAAATAATCTTACAAACATGTTAACTTAAAAAGCTTGTCTGATTAAAAAAGAAGTAATTATTAATTCAGTAATATATAAAGACATTCTTGAAAGTTATTAATCTGCTCAAAAATGTTTAAAATCGCTTTCAGAATTTACTATTTAAGTATCTTTTACTCTCACATTCCGAATTTTGCTTTTCCCCCGGATTGTAATTTTTTTCCCTTCAATATATTTTTATACTACTCTTAATTTATGAGTATAATAATTTATGAGTACTTATTCTGAAATAATTACACTGTTGCAAAAATGCTTTTCTTTTATTTAAATTTTATTCCAAGCTCACAGCCAATGTCATGTCAAATTCGTATTTTTAAGAACATTATCAAGTAAAATTTATGTGTACTTTTAGAAGGAGACTACGAATGGAAACAATTCCGTCGAAGCTACCCTTAATTTCAAAATTCAATTGCCTTCTCAAATAGTCTTGATTTAGCTGTAGACCACTGGCCTCCACATGTGTTATAAAGAACAGCTGGGTGAAAACGGTGAATGAAAATATATCTAAAATAAAGCTCGATGCATTAACAAATGGTACAGGAAATTAACTCGGATGATTTTATATGTACTAAAAAAGTTGTAGTCAAAATTGGATACGGCAATTTTTTTTTCCTCTTAAAAGCGTCTAAAACATTAAGTAAGTTCCATTTCCAAACTTTCTATGCACCTGGATCACATATTGCTTCAATTATTATTAAAAATGGTTGTTATGCAGTTCGTCCTAGCTCTTAAGCAGAATGAAATGGTTAAAGAACTATTCAGACTTTAAAATAAAAATTCAAAATTTTTCATAAAATACTTTACAAGAAATGAAAATTACCATCTAGTACTATAAAATATTCTTAGTCTACATTTTTAGGTATGGATTTAAAAAACAAAGACTTTTGCATTAAAATGTTCTTTACAATGTGTTATGTCATTCAGTGTACTCTTGATTATTGGCAATTAGCAAAAGCTAATTTGAGGAGCTCCAGCAGTGAACGGTATGCTATCTACATATAACCTTCTTGAATAGTTTAATTTTACTTAAGCAGTGCAAGAAGTTGAAATCACAAACCAAAGGGGGGGGGAAGTAGCATGATCTCTTACATAATAACAGAAATTGAAGTCGTGTAAAATGTGCCGTTAAACTATGAGGTAATAATTCCTAATAATAAATTTCTTCGAGAGTTTAAAAGCCGACTGAACTCCCAGCCTGACTGAGATCATTAATTTAATTTAATGAGATAATGAGATTATTAATTTACTTAAAATTTTTCTGTAAGTTTTGTAAGCACTAGTAAAGTAATATAATTTTAATCACAGGAAGATGTTCACACAGGCAATCATTTTACGCTCGTGTACCCCCCCCCACCCACCCACACACGAGAGCGCCACTTCTTACTTCTTTGAAAGAAATCGCAATTTGCTCCTTTTTCAGCTAATCAATTGTCAAGGTTTGTATAAACTGTTTCAGTCAGAGTCAAAATTGTCAGTGTGACAAAACATCATAATTTATCTAAATTTGGTAACTTTGTTGAAGTGAGAAATGATTAGTTGCCCCATATGTTAAATTGGGTTACTTTTTTTTTCGAAACTACTGCATTTTTTTATGGAAATTTGAGGTTCCAGACATCTTTTCTTTTCGTCCAAAAGGGTACATTTTAGCAGCACTTTTTTCCGATTAGAATTTCCCGTATAAATCTAGTTATTAGTTTCATAATTATTCGGTGTTCTATAGTATTGCTTTTTGGTTTTGAAAACAAAAGGCAAATAAATCAAAATAATATGAGAGCTCGTGGTAAGCATGCAAATTATTGCAAACACAGGAAGTCGGTCAGTATTCTATCATGGTTCTTTTCTCTGTGAAACATGAAAATATTTTAAACTGTTACTCAGTGATATTTTGTTTAACAAATTGCAATTATTTTCTAAAAAATGCATTCAAAAAGTGATTACTTTGGGGCTAGATATAAGGCATGAACAAGAACTTGAATTCATCAAAGCAATTGTTATTTATTTTGCTGCTTAGTAAACAATATTTCCAAAAGCGGGATTTTTTTTTCTTTTTCTTATAAATAAAAGCTTGTTAGTTCCGTTTTTTTTTCTCCCCATAGCCAATAACTTTCTTGAAAGAAAATCACTCTTTGTCACAAAAGGCAGGTGCAAAATGCGCATTTAATGTAAATAATCTTGAAATATGATGCAAAGCCAAGACCGGAAACTTCGATTGATTGGTTAATTAATTATGGCGAATCATTCCATACCTCATGAGGATCATGCCATACCTCATTCCATACCTCATGATATCTACCTCATGAGGAAAAATGATTTCCTGTAGGAAGCTGCTTTATGTTTATTTTATAGAGAAAAAAATCCGCAGTAATTCCAGCTTCTATAAACTGAACGGACTTTACTTATTTACTTAAACTGAACAGACATTTTGTGCGTATATCACAAGTATCCCTTTTGAATTTAATCATTTTTGAAATCACAAAATTACTGTAATTAGTTTTCTAACTTCGCCCAAATGTGTAGAAGTTTAATGAGAAGATAGAGGCTTTACAAAAATGGAAAACATTGCAGAAAAGATATTTAATATCTCCTATTCCTTTAACGCTATAATAATTTTTCTTGTTCACTATTTTTAACTAATGTTATTGTTTGTAAATATTCACCCGAAATGTTTCCATAACTTATAAGAGCTCTTGGAAAAGCACAAGGATAATGCGTTAAGTTTTACTAATAGCGGAATATATTTTCAAATGAACAAAATTTCAAATTTTTAAAGATTATTCCGCTCATATGCTGTGAATCAAAGAAGAAGATTATACTTTTTATATTAATTGAGAAATTTACGTATAAACTGGCTATGACTTAACAAAATTATTTAGCAAATGTACGTTAATGGACTGTTGTTTCTACGAATTATGAAGCTGAATTGAAATACTAAAGTTACTATTTTAATGCCATTTCCAGTTACGAACTTCAGTTTTAAGATTTTTTTCTTTCTAGTTCCTACGAGTTCATAAAACTGAAAGTGCATTATGGTATATTTCCGTATGTTTGTAACTTTATTGTACATTGAAATAGCTAAATATTGGCGAACTGAATGTTAAATATGCCCAAGAAATTGAGCTCTGTCACCTGACAAAATTTAATTTAAGTTTTTGCCTCCTACTTTATACATTCATCTTTTTATGAAGCAATATAGAAGATGTTTTTTTGCGAATTAAAAATATCATTTTGTTGCAAAATGTATTAAATTAATTTCAAAGAGAAAAAAGTAATCTATTATTGACATTTTATTTTGTTTTAATGTAATAAATCTTTAACACGGATAGCATACACAAACACATTGGTCGCACATTTTATGCGTCAGAACTTTAAGCATATTCTCTTGTCTCTGATTAATATTCTTGTTGAATGAGGCGTCTTATATTAGTAAAACGGAGAAATTCATAGTGCAAGCAGATTATCATCTAGAAAAATTCTAAGAAAATGTTGCGGTCATTAAAAATGAGGCAAAAATAATAAAAACATTGAAACATATTCAGTGACCTTATATGGGACAACAGGAAATCAGATGCCATGTGTAATGTCAATAAAACGTTTTTAGCTTTCTCATTATTTTTACTTTAAAGCCTACAGCAAATACGCTATTAATAGAAAAAGTATGAATTTTCTTGGTTTGTGCCCTGAACCTTTCGAGGGATGTCGCAATATATTATATAACTGCAAATAGCTCTAAAATTCAGAGTAACATGTAAGTGTTAAGTGCTTACACTAAAGTTTTTAAAGCACAAATTCATTCAGCTTGATTCTGTTTACATGACTATGGCAAGGTACTCTAAGGTTATTTGCCTAAGAGGAATGATGCTTTCGTGGAGGCCTTTTGAAGGAAAATTGGCTCGTATGCACGTTATAGTGCATGAGGAAAACCACAAAACGCCCATGCAGCCAGCCCATTCGCCTGGAATCGAACCTAAGTCGAGCTA